AAATAATATATTATTTCTAGTATAAAATGTAGTTTGATGTTTTATAAAGTGTGACACGTTGTTTTACAAAGTGGGACATGTTGTTTTATAAAGTGCAACATGATATTTCTATAAAGTGCATTAGTATACACAAACTCATTAAAAAACCAGTTTTAATAGATAAAATTGTACATCGATATAGCCTAGATTCACAAAATACTTATTTTATGGTAATTTTGTAATTACTTAATGAATTATTGAAAGAAAATATTAAATGAACTACAATTATTATTCCAGGGATTAATCGCATTAACTTAAATAATATAAATGATTTACCATTTATAAATTGATATCATCTCGTATTAGTAAAAATTTTAATGTTTGTGAAAAATATATATCTTTTTACGATAATGTTCATCCTCGTACATAATAATGTGCATTCGTTCCGGCACTATAGTGCAATATGATGATCAATAATGTGTTTCTCGTTTAATAACGTTGTGCATTCAATTGTTATATATATATTTAGTGTTTATAAGTTTTATTTGATATTTTTTATATTATTGTTTGTTGAAAATAACTAATATATACATATATTATTATTATTATTATTATTATTATTATTATTATTATTATTATTATTATTTCTATGTAAATATAAAATAATAAATTTTTTTTATATATATAAATAAAATTTAAAATAATGAATTTAGTTTATCTTTTATCAAACATTTTTTTGTATATTTTTTAGAAATTTCAAATTTAGCCCATGGGTTAAATTGACATTTAACCAAAAGTTTTTAAGTTTCAATTAGGTCCCTATCAATTCTCAGATTCTCAAAATCAAAAAATCATTCTATAGGTGCAGGCATGGATCGTCCTCTCAAGTCTCAAATTGATTATCCCTTTTCATCGTCAAATTCGTAGCCCTTCTTCACGCCTGATATCGGAGCTATCATAATTATCCAGCCGGAGGGACGAGAATTGGGTCAGGATTCTCGGAGATCTGTGTGGTTCGCATCCACAGCGGGGATGGCTTTTCCGGCAGTTTCCTGATGGTCTCGACATCGCCGATCTGATGGAGCTTCCGGAGTAGGTGACTGTTTGTTCCTAGGTGAATGAAGGAGCTCGACGATGCGGCGGCGGAGGCC